AGCTATAAGGCTAGCTCCTTTGTAGAGGGCTACTCCTACTCCTACTCCTTTGCCTTTGCTTGACGCCACTTACCTAAACCCCCCTTTTTTTTTTAATTCTGAGACAATTTCTTAGTGACTTGAACGGACCCAGATGTAAAACATTTGCTCGAAACATGTCCACTGTTTCCCCCTTACAACTTGCGACTGCGTGAGACTCTGGAAGAAGGCGAAGATTCTAGTAGACCGCCCTGGCTCCTCAAGCGCCTCGACGACGGCGAAGACTCAGAACAGCCCTGGCTCTTCCACTTCCTCGAACACGCCGAACCACCCTGTCTCCCCGACTTCCTCAACGAGGGCAAAGACTCTGCACCCGCATATTCAACCCCCTCCATCAACTCTCCCTCATCCTCTTCCACCCCCTCCTCCATGTTCTCGCCATCATCATCCTCACTCCCCTCTCCCTCCCCCGCGTGCCTAACCCCCTCCCTCAACTTCCACTCCCTCTCCCTCTCCCCCCTCCCCCTCCTCTTCCTCCTCCTCGTCTCCACCCCCCTAATCCGCGCCTCCGCCACCCTGACATCCGCCTCATCCGCCCACGGCCCCGCCTTGATCTCCGCCCTGCTCTTCCCCATCCACCACTGCGCATCATGAACACCGGTTATGGCGCCTTCTTGCACCCAGTCCGGGCGCGGGATGCCTAGTTCGTAGCATTCGCGGGTCGGGGAGATGGAGATGAGGGTGCCGTGGGCGCGCAGGAGGGCGAGGGCTGGGAGGTGCGTGGCGGATTGCGGGCACAGGGTGAAGCGGGTTGTTTGGGTTATGGGCTGGTTGAGGGAGCGCTGGGTGCGCGTGTAGGATAGGCCGGCGTGGATGCGGGCTAGGAGGGCCGCTTGGTCGGAGGGGGTTTCTGGCACGGTTGGGCATGGGAATGGGGATGAAGGGACGGAGGAGAGTGAGGAGTCGGTGTCCGAGTCGGAATATATAGGTTGGAACTCGTACTTGGTGCGCTTGGTTGAGGGTGGCGAAGGAAGTCGAAGCCTGCTGGGTTGCGGTGAAGTGTCGTCATCTCGCAGTGGACGTATACTTGGTGGCGAGGGCATTCGTAGCCTCTCGGGTTGGGTTGGCGTGAGGCGCTGCTCAAGTGAGAGAGAGAATAGCTGGTCAACCCCGTCGCGGTCTTCAGGTCCATACGCCATGGCTGTGGTTGTGCGAGGTGGTTTCTTAGGCCAGTAAGATATCGTACTGGGATGAGAAAAGGTAATTGGGTTGTAGATGTGGGGATTGCATTTGGGGGTGATATGAAGTTGGTGATATAGAAGGAGAACATGGGAAAACAGTATACTTTGTGTAATCTTGTGGAGCACTGTTGTGAACGTAGCGTTTGCTTCACTATGTTGATACCTAAAGCAGTTTAGCGTTTGAAGTGAAACGGACTATCCAAGCTTTAAGCATATGTATGGTTTGTATACGTGACTGATTATGGGAGAAGGCAAGATATCACTAGTATTCCTACTATCTTTGATTTGAACGTGGACCAAATAAGTGGCCAGTTTGACACACTCAGGCTTCTCGTCTGGTGGATGTGAGAACACAAATAACCTAAGCAATTCCTTCTCATTGATAGCGGTGTGTACTTGAGTATCTGTCTTCAGCTTGTTGGTTATTCAAGAGGCTCTTTTATTCTTCGAGAGAACAACTTCTAATGTCTCTCACAATAGGGAGATAAACGCTATTGCCTGAGATTCAGGCAAGAGTTCTGTCTTCAAGCAACATGATTTTTGTTTACAGTTTCTGTTAACATAGAAAAGCCTCAAGGCCTTGTTCTAAAGCTCTCTATCTACAAGTTTGCATACTTGTATTCGAAATGTAGGCCTGCCTTACAGCGCTGTTGCTCATCTCATGTAAAGCCTTGTCTCTTACTAACCATTATCTGTCCTTTTGATATAACTGACTGTTAGATATTCCGTACAAGGTAATTCTATTAAACGCCTGCGTATCTACAATACTATAGAACGTTTGTTGTAGACAGAACCTAACGTTTAAAAGTTATTTGCCACAAGGCATCGTTAGACAAGGCTTGGCACGTCTATGCAATTTGCATATAAATCTGCTACTTAAGAACAACTATCTTAGTGCCTTGAGATGCGACATTAAAAAAACGGTTATGGTAGGTGATCAACGGGCTGCATGGTTGCACCTATGCAGCAGTGGATCTTATCAATAAGATGTGGCGCAGCACAACACACGTTACGACTACACTGCAGCTATTTAACCGCAGCAAGGCTACAGTCAGCCCAGACACCAGCAACCCCGCCGCCTACAAGATATCACTCTTCTCTCTAGTAGCTCTTCACTTGCACTTGTTTTGTCCGTCACTTGTATCTGAGTATGGATCCGCTCAGTATCACAGCCAGCATAATTGCAGTGCTCCAGCTCTCGGTGAAGGTCCTTGGATACTTCAACGACGTTAAAAATGCATCCAACGATCAGGCCAAGTGCGCAGTTGAGGCCTCGAACATACACAGTCTCCTTACTAAACTGAGGTTCCGCCTTGAGGAGGGAAAGGCCGATGCGCAGTGGTGCACCGCTGTCCGAGCCCTTGGAGTGGAGAATGGACCGCTCGACCAGGTTAAGCAAGCGCTGAAAACACTTCAGACCCACATGACAGATAGAGGTCGACTACGACAGGCGCTAGTGTGGAAGTTCAAGAAGGAGGAAATTGCAGGCATTTTGGACAGAATTGAGCGTTTGAAAACACTCATATTGATCGCGTTAGAGATGGACCACTTGTAAGTCTTTACGTAGCGCTATAATTTCACTTCACTTACACGTAGAAGCAAACTGTCTCAAGCCATTAAAGGCGATACTAACTTCATTCGAGCACGCGTATCAGCAATACAGTCTGGGGTTGACCAGATTCAGCAAGGTCAAGCCGATGCAAAGCACAATAAGATAGTGGAATGGATCTCGCCTATGAACTACCCCGCCCAGCAATCAGACATCATAAGCCGCAGACAGGAGGGGACGGGTCAGTGGTTTCTCGACGCGCCCGAGTTCGCAAGGTGGCTCGGTGAGCCGAAGGGCAGAATCTTCTGCCCAGGGATTCCTGGCGCCGGCAAGACGATGGTGGCCGCGATTGCGATCGACCACCTGTTACACTCTACGCAGAACAGATCGATAGGAGTTGCATACGTGTATTGCAACTACCAAGAGCAGAACGAGCAGAACGCCTCTAGCATGCTGGCAGCCATCGTCAAGCAGTTGGTGCAAAATCTACCGCCCGCGGCAAAGCCTGTAGAACTACTACACCAGAAGCATCACGTTCACGGCACGAAGCCAACAGTTGATGAGATCTTCAGCGCCCTCGAAGAAGTCGTTGGGGATTATTATATAGTCTATATCGTGATCGACGCTCTGGACGAATGTCGAGACAGCGACGGCACTCGGCGCCAGTTTCTAGCCAAACTCCGCGATCTTCAGGCGGGACATGACGTTCGCCTAATGGCAACCTCGCGTTCTATTTCAGAAATTATGAATTGGTTTAACGAAGGACTGAAGCTGGAGGTGCAAGCTAGTAAAGAGGATGTGAAGCGATTCGTGGCTGGCAGGATGTGTGAACTGCCAAAGTGTATTCAACGCGACCCTGAGCTACAGGAGGTCGTCCAAGAAAAGATCTCAGAGGCAGTAGACGGCATGTATGTTTATCCTAGCAAACCTGTGATATGACACGGACTTACACGTTCTCAGGTTTCTTCTTGCTCGCCTCCACACTGATTCGCTGCTAGACAAGAGAACGAAGAAGGACGTGAGGTTAACATTAGCTAAGCTGTCTAAAGGCTCAGCCGCACTCGATGACGCATACAAGAAGGCAATCCAACGCATCGAGGGCCAGTTAAGCGGAGATTACGAACTAGCCAAAACAGTGCTGTCATGGATCACGTATGCGAAACGGCCGCTTACTACGACAGAAATTTGCTGTGCTCTGGCAGTAGAGCCGAGCGATGCGGAGCTCGACCCCGAGAACGTACCTGATGTTGAGGACTTATTATCCGTGTGTGCTGGACTGGTCGTCGTTGACCAAGAAAGTGCTGTCATCCGTCTTGTACATTACACCACCCAAGAATACCTCGAGCGTATCCAAAATAAATGGAATCCTGGCGGTCAACTAAATATGGCCTCAACATGTCTCACATACCTATCATTCGACATATTCAAAACTGGGAGCTGCTCCTCTGACGAAGAATTCAAAGAGAGGCTTCGAAAAAGCCAATTCTTAGACTATGCTGCTAAACATTGGGGAGAGCATGCATCAGCAACGGAAGGTGAGATATGTAAGCTAGCCTGCTCATTTCTTTCCTGTAAAGAATTGGTTTCTTGCGCTGTCCAGGTACTCTTACGATCAAGATATACATATCAGGGGTATAGCCAGGAATATCCAAAGGACAGTACAGGATTGCATCTTGCAGCACGTTTCGGATTAGCTATTGTATTAGATGCACTGCTACTAAACCAAGTAGGAGAGACAGCACTGATATTAGAAAGAAGAGATAGCGAGGACCAGACTCCTCTATATCTTGCAGCACAACTTGGACATCAAAAAACGGTGAAGCTGCTGCTCGACAAGGGCGCCGAAGTTAATGCACAAGGCGGAGAATACGGCAACGCACTACAGGCAGCTGCAGCTAGGAACCATACAGCTATTGTCGAGCTCCTACTCAACAACGGCGCTGATGCCTCGCGACACGATAGCCAGGGAAAAAGCATCTTGCATTATGCTACCAACAGTGTGGATTGCAACCTTGGTTTGATCGACCTTCTGCTCTCACGAGGCGCTCCAGCAAACACGACCGATATCAACAACATGACACCACTGCTTTACTGCGTCAAGCACGGCCACAAATCTATAATAGAATTATTTCTTGACAATGGCTTGTCCATTGATGCCTGTGCTAATCGAAAGCCGTGGTCTCGGAACACTGTAAAGACCGATACCTTGTCTCGATCATCGGTTTCGGAGTCCGAGTCCGACATTTCGGGCACTTCAGCTGGCCTGACACCTCTACACTTTGCGGCCTTGACTGGAAATCTAGCCATGACCAAGTTCCTTCTGGAGCATGGTGCTGATCCGAACGCTTTGTCCCGATACAACGAGTCCCCGATGCATCTCACGTTGCGTAGAACCCTGTATGGACCAAGTTATGACGACGATTGGACCGACAAGGACTTCCGGATAGAAGGCCGTTGGGACCTCTTATTCATTGTTGAAGAAGAAGAAGAACAGGATGCAATTTCTGAGAATATAACAAAGCATCGCGAAGGTGTGCTTGATGCCCTACTCGCAGATACTCGGACCAGTCCAACCATAAGAGACTATCAACATAACTACCCTTTGCACTGCGTTATGTATCAAGAACCTGAAAGTATGTTGGTAATTCAGAAACTGGTATCCGGAGGAGCAAACCCGTTGGAAAGGAACTTGAAGCAGCAAAATGCACTGCACCTCGCTAGTCAAGCTGGCAACCACGACGCGGTTACTTTTCTAATTTCCCTAGGAGTTGATCCTGCCTTAACGGACAATGAAGGGCTCAATTCTCTTCACTACGCTGCACAAAGTGGAAACCATGAAACGATCGATGTCATTTTAGAAACTGCTCTGCCAACAACACCAAGCCTAGTGGCGTCGAAGGATAATCAAGGCAGAAACGCGCTCCACCACCTGGCTTCTACGAACTCTAGAGTTCCGCACGAGACAATCCAGTTGCTGCTCGACAAGGGAGTAGGCGGTTCAGAGTTAGACGCATCTGGCAACTCACCGTTGGCGAGCTACTTCAAACGACCACGTTTGGGTGCACTATATGTCGAAACCTGTCAATCATTGCTTTCGGTCAAAGGAAACGCTTTGTTTGTCGACAAAAATGGACAAAACCTAGGACACTTGGGCGCTTTGACTTTTAAATGCAAAGTTGAAGTTTTAGAGATGCTAAAGGAACACGGTGTCGATCTAATGCAGAGAGACTTGCAGGGTAAGACAATATTGCACTATTTTGCGATGGGCGGATTTCTTACCAAGCAATCTTTGCATTATCTTGTCCATGTTGTCGGTATTGAGATAGATGCAAAGGACGCGTTGGGAAAAACAGCGCTGCAACATGCAGCAGAGAAGGCACGGAAAGATTATCCCCGAGATATGTTCTGTCGTGGACGCTGGGATGAATGTGTGAAGCTATTGTCGGAACACGGTGCTAGTTCAACAGCTTCTAGAGCTATAGAGGGCTAGAAAAAGCTTTTCTTATTGTCCTTTCTATGCACTGTTTATCTTTTTAGATGTTTTTTAGTCGCCGCTTCTATTGTGTTGTAAACTATAGTTCAGCTCTTTAGTTTAGTATCTCCAACATCTTTTCTTACGCGATGGAATTGTCAAGTCACTATAACATAGTTTGGAGCGAGCGTGGGCTTAATCAGGACTGCCGCTGTCTCGCATAGGTTAAAGCGGAACAATGTACTGCATATACGATACTACATCTTTGACGAGTCACCGAGTCACCCTCGATTCAACAAGCTACGCACAAACATGGTCGAATCGCCAATCACCACCAATCATACAGTACATACTTCAAAAACACCACATTGCTCATCAACCTCGATCATAACTTCCTTACTACTATCATAATATATACAAGCCCCTCTTAACCCCCCAAAATTCTCATTACACCCCCAGATCCCCACTTCCTCGCACCCACCGCGCCTCTACAAACACGAATCCAACTCCTGGACAGCCTTGCATCCGTCCTTGCCAAGCGTGTAATCATCACAAAGCGTATTACACGACAGACCAGGCTTGACAAACACCCTACCCTGCTGACTCGGGTCGCCACCAGGAGTTCCATACCAGGGGAGACGGAACTGCTTGGTCGTGTCGCCAGCATCACAGTTGTCTGCGCCTATTCATTGCATTAGCACCTGCATATCCACACAAAAAAAATGAAACCGAACTTTGTGTGAGGTTGGGTTGTGACTTTGGTGCTGCTTTTCTTTTTTTGCACCAGCCAAGGCAAGGGGAGGGTGTGTCAGGAACAAGGGGTGGAGGATATCCCCCCTCCACCTTGCTAGGGGAGGGAGGGGGGGGGGGGAAGAGAGAGAAAGACGTACGATATCCAGCCCTGCAAGCACAGTAATACGGAGCAGGCGTGCTCGGATCATCATGGCCCCACACAAACGTGCAGGAAGTTGTGATGTCGCAGAGATTGTAGCCAGGGCGGTAGTCGCATTGTTGGCACACGGGTTCGCCGGCGTAGGCGAGGGACAGGAGGGAGAATAGAGCGATGGTGAGGGTCTTCATGATTACAAGTTATAATTGGTGATTTGAGCGAGTGTATGTGTGGAAAGAGGCAGGCTGGTAAGGATTTAGCGATGGATGGGTTGGGTGGAGATGTGTTGGCGGGGTGCTGGAGAAAGGTAGTTTATATATACGTGAGCGGATGGTATGACATCCTACGAGAGGTCTATTTTAAGAGTAGATGTAGTCTATGGGTAAGTGAGCGGGTGAGGATTATCCCGCTGCATAGTCCAAGTTTGACTGACGGGGCCCGTGTATGGGTAGTGGAGTCGGAGGGGAAGCAAAGCTGACTTCGGACGTAGCGGCGTGTTTCTCGCATTCTTCGTATACTTTTGGTGCATTGATTTTCTTAGAAGGACTATTGAAAAAAAAACGATATTGTTCCGCTGCACGTGATGGACATATGGGGCTTGGAATCGCTTTGGGAGAGTTGTGGGGACTGTCTTGTGGCAAGCTCCAATCCAATAAATCACTACTATCATGTAATCAATTGTCACCATTCTGCCAAAACTTCCCATTCATGACCTGCAGAAGGCAAGCAAGGAATTTCAAACCATCAAAGCATTGTGTTGCTCGTAACCAAAAGGAAACTAGCACAACAGGGTCCAGTGACATAAAGTTTTGTTCCCAATAATAAGCTGACAGCTCTCTTTTTATCCTCCCGCTCAAACCCAAAAGCCTTAGCCGCACACCCCAGATTTCGCAATGGTAAGTGGCGTTCTTGACCCAAGGAATTGACATCGTATTTCCGCGCCACGGCGCAAAGTACCAAATATCGATCGTTGTGGTGTAGACGAATAGGAGTTCCAGTAGTTGTGCTGACAAAGGCCATAGCTGTAGCTGAATCCGTCTTGATCATGGGATCTCGTGTTTCCCCGCCGTTCCCGGTCTGCCGGTCAGCCTGAAGTGTAAAAAACACGAGGTTAAACACAAAGTCTAAACGGCACAGATGGAGGAGTGGGGACTATTTTTAGCCAGCAAAATCACATGTATGCAAACAGGAAAAAGGTGGAGGTGGTGGTGATACGCACGTGACTTGAGAAAGCGAAAAAAAAAGGATGTTGTATTGAATGAATCGCTCAGCCATACGAATGGTGCTACAGCTGAGTTCCAAACGCCGGTCATGATAATAACTCCTCTATGCACTATTGGTATACAGAATGTCGTCAATTCATCACCTCTTGCCCTTCTTGAGCACTAGGCCCTTCCAGCCCTTGCTATCCTTGATGCGTCGGAGCGCCTTGCTTGCAATGGGATCCTTGGCCAAATCATCCAGGCAGGCCTTCTTCTCTTCTTCAGTCTCGTGCTCGTGAAACTCGCACCATTCCTTTTCCATCTTTGGCCGCTCACCTCTTGCTAGCATGGTGACCAGCTCGAATAGGAAAGCTTGTGGCAGGTGGCTTCGCAGAGGAATGGTGCGCTCATCATCACGATCGGGGTTCCAGTACACCGAGTACATATCGAGAAAGTACCTGCACAGTGGTGCGTCTGGAGGGAGACTCTCGTATGCGGCAATGACGTTGCTATGGTCGGGCATGACTTGCAGGATTTCGTCGTTTGTTTGCCATGCAAGAATGACGGCGCGGCTTAGTTTGGGAATCGAGTATTTGTGCGCGAAAACATAGAGCGATATGAAACGGCGCTCGAGGAATCCTTCCAAACTCCTCCATTTGTAGGGTCGTGAACAGCACGGACATAACGTCTCCTTGGGTATCTCGGGCTTCTCTGCAGGGTTGCGAGGGGGCAGTACTACTGGAGGCTTTTCAGCTTCAACCTCCCCCTGTACCTTCTCTGCGCTGGTTGTTGTTGGGCTGTTTGTTGCTTCGGCGGGTACTGATGCGCCATCTGCAGGTGTTTCATCGTCCAGAGCGATACCCCATGAGGCAGTATCTACATCGTCGCCTTCGCCTTGCTCTGTAGATGGAGCACTGGTGTTGTCGCTTCCATTGACGCTAATAGCATGTGTTGGAGGATGGACTTCCTTGCCACCTTCGATCAAGTGATGCGGGATAAATCCTGTGTAAAGCCAGAGCATAAATGCATCGAAGACGTCTGGACTAGTATCCTCTAGCTCAAGCGTTGAAGTAGAGGAGTTGTAAGGCGAGTTGCCCTTCTCTTCTAGGCATGTGTTGAAGTATGTCGAGCATCTCCTCAAAAGTTCGCGATGGCAGCTGAAAGACTCGGGATTTTCCTTTCCGCCAACTTTGACGGTGATGATAGTTTGGTCAAAGTTTCTGCATCTGGTTAGCCGTCGAGCCAGAAATGGTCCCGAGCTTCAGCGTAGCTTACCGGAAAGTGTGACCGAGCGTTGTTGCACCCTTGGAGTTCATGAAAGGCATTTTGATAAGATAATCTGGTTCATTCATCGCGGGCTCATTGTGGGTAGTCGCAATTATTATATTCCTACACGTATTGTGGCGCACCAGGAGCACTGAGAGGACCGTTTCAGCGACTGTACCAGCCCCATCTTGGCGTTGGATCTTGCAACGGTATAATGCTTGTAAGAGCTTTGGTTCAACGGGGTAAAAGGCTTAAGCGCAGAGTGGTATTGCTTGATTGAAACACGCTCACACAATAATAGCGAGTGACGGCTGGGTATTTCTCGGCGATCTTGGGGCAGGGTAGGGGTGGTTCGAAGACGTGCGGGAGAGGATGGGTTTGAGCGCGGTTTCACATTGCTTGGCGGGGGCGGGATGCCTCGACGCGCGCCTGGGTTGGCAAAGATGTGCCTCACCGTCGTACAGCACCAACGCTAGATGTGTCCCTTCTATGTCGTTTAAATTATTATTCCTGGCGCATAAGGGCGTTCGAGACAGGCATCAAATCCTGACGCGTGATAATGTGTGTGTGGACGCGTTGTTATCTTTGTGGGTTGCTGCGTCTGGACTGAGGATGTGTGTCCATAGTAGTAGTACTATCGCCATTGGCTACCTAGACCAACTTCGTCCATAATCAGACACAACCACCCACACTCAATCCATACACTGGAAGATACTCTATGTCTCTGAGGCTTTGCGAAGCGTACTGTTTCACTGTAGTCCTTGATACAGTAGTGCATGTACAATGCACCTGCCTCATCTTCGCAGCTCTGTGACTACACTAACCCGACTCGAAAGGTATGAGCCTAATGATCTTGCAGTAGCTCCACAGGTGGATACAGAGGCCTAGCGTTGATCAGTGAGTATTGTTCACAGGAGCAAGTGGAGCATGGCCAGGGGCCTAGGATAGACGAGAGTTTGAGGCTTCATGATGAGTTGCAGTTTACGGATGTGAAAAGGCTTCATCGCTCGCTCATCACCATTTTTAATTCGACATCTCACCCCATTCCCTCCACCACTCATACAGCGCAATACCGCCGGCCGTCTGCACGTCTGCGAAAATGATATTAGATTGTGGCTCACAACTGCACATACAGGTTTGAAAGAACTAGAACTTACTTAGACTTCTTGTCACGCCCACAGTCTTTATTTCCACGTTGCGGTCGATGACTGCAAGTACCTCGGCTGAGATACCTTCTTTCTCGCTCCCGAGCACGAGACAGCACTTCTTAGGCAGTGTTCCAATGTCTTGACGACGCACCACTTCAATCGTGTCGCCATCACTACCCAGATATGCGCCATCGACACCTTCATAACCCAAGATACCACTGCGATCCGTTTGTTCGATACCCACGACCTCATATCCTTGGCTCTTCGCCTCCAACAAGAATGCGGGAACATCCAGTTCTTTGAGTTCCTTGATGGCAAGGTGCTTCTCTGATCTTACGCTCGTAGCCTTGAAGTCTTTGTGCGCAACCTTCTTGAGATCGTCGATGTATAAAGCCTCCAGCCCAAAAGACTCGGATATACGTGAAAGACCTCCGAGGTTCGTAGGATTGTCAATCAGGGATGCGACAAGCATAACAGACGCGGGCCGCCGGTTTTGCATACTTGGTGGACCAGATGCTGGATGGAGGTTGTCTAGGTCGATACCAGCCTTGGTTTGTAGTGTGATCTGGCCGCTTGCATCTTCATTAGACACAGCTGAAGGAGCCGCGGTCGCTGGTTTATCACTGGTATTCTGTCTTCCTGGCGCAGTGCCCAACTGTATGATTGCGGGAGGAGAAGCGATATGCATCGCTTGATCGTCCGACTCAAGCTCTTCAAAATCTTTGTACGCAACCAACTCATCCTCTGGTGATTCAATTGAAAGGTACTGCCCCTGGAAAATACCGACCATGGTGAAGTCTGCTTCAATGTCGACCTTCAAGGTTCTTATCGTCCATGGCGAAGCACTGAACTTGTCGAGACGTCGGATAAAGGTATCCATAGCCAAGAGCGCAGGGTTCTCGACGACTGTCTTCCAACCCTTTTTGCTTGCGAGATCAAAGACCAGCGGAAATGCAAAGTTCGCCTCGTGGCGTATCTGAACTTTCGGACTTGCCGAGTATGCATTGAGCTGCATCATAAGCTGGGCAGTAAAGGCCTCAGACTCGTAGGATGCGACTAGAAGGCCAAGTTTGATCAAGCTGGCAATGTGCATAGGGCTGTACTCGTCCAGGTTCTGCAGCTGCTCGATAATTCTTGAAGACTTTCCTGGGAATTGACGATAAATGCGAGCTATGGTCCATTCGAGCAGATAGCGATAACGTGGCCATGATTCAAGTGTCAGAGCATGTGTGAGTCCATCGAGATATGCATCAGCATCCGAATCCCTGATGCAACGATGGCTTAATAAAAGAATTGCCTGTAACTGCAGAGTCTTTTTCCAGGGACTCTTAACAGCGACTGGCGGCTGTTGATCTTTCCAGGGTTGAAGCAAGTGATTGAGAATGCTCTTGGCAACATCTAACTGCCCTTCAGGGAATCGCCGTAGAATATCCAAGACAGCTGTGTATGCATGCCATTCTCGCAGTCCGTAATACGAGGTATACGTTCGATGTGGCAGGTATTGTTGCAGTCTTTCAGCGGCCACGACCTCGAACAAGAACTCTGGCTTAATGGATGCAGGATCGTTTACAAAGTCTAAGATGTAATCTTCAAAGGGAAGAATACCTGTGATGGAAGGATTTGCAAAAGCAGCTTTGCGAAGCGATTTTGCAAGCGCTGCAAGTACGTAGGACCTACCCTTGGATAACCTTGTGAGACGTGACATGGCTTTGGACAAAAGGTTTGTAAGGTCTGTCGCGGATTCTATGTCGTTTCTTTGCTGATGCGCGACACAAATGTGTACGCATGCTGGGTGGAACATCAGAGGTGGTAAGTGAACAGAAAATGGCCGAATGAAGTCGCGGATTTCGGCCTCTTCCCAAAGTGCTGCCAAGGCGGTATGCACCTCATCTGGATCGACAGAGTTGATGTCCATCTGATCGAGCAGCTTGGTCAAGGCCTTGCAGGCAGGCGCAAATCTCTGTCCCTGAATGCAGCTATGCTTTGACTCACGTAGTTCCTTCAAGAAAACCTGTAGTGACGAATGCGTAGCTTCATCCGAGTTGGTGACAGTCGTTGATTGATCCACTTGCTTTTCCAGGTTTTTACATCGAGCGCGTAGAGACTCCTCAGCCGGCATCATCTCAGAGCCCGAGTCAGGGCGGATAAGATCGCAAAGCTTTCGGCAATGAAGGGTATGTAAATCGTTTGCTACCTCAGGAAGGCCCGGAAGTCGTGCAAGGCTTAAGATTTGTGCAATATCGGCTGCTGCGAAGTCCGGGTGTCCTGACAGTGAATAATTGCTTTGTCGCACGGTGAGACCCGTTATGAGACCGTTCAGTAAATACAGTATCGCCGGTTGAAATAAGCGGCCGCGAGCGTTCATGATGAATCGAACTACACCTAATACGATGGCACGCCCATGGTGGTTATCCACGCCAATCTCTTGTGTGCTATCATCGTTCGATGGGACAAAACATGGAGTATCTTCAGTATCAGATGCGAATCGTGCGATAAGAGTAGCTAACGCCTCTCCATGGGCACAGGTAGTTTGCGTTCGGTTAGCAGTGAGCGTTGAAGTGAACAGGCTCCCATCTGTTGCCCATGGGAGGAATCCGTCGAAGAGAAAGTGTATGTGGCCACTGATATCACCGCGGCGCTATCGGAATATGGTTAGCATTTTGAAAAACAGCTTGTAATCAGATTATGTTGCGCGTCAGCACTGTTGAAGTTTGCTTACCTGGATGACAAAGTCCATGTACCAGCGGCCAATCATCTTCCTGACACTCTCCTGAATCAATGGATCAAGAGCTGCAGTGAGCAGAGTGGTCGTCATTGCCGGAGTGATTTTTGAAGGAAGAGCGTTTGAGTATCCAAGCAGTTTGGTCATTGACGAGAGAGAGTCTTCCACCTGCCCAGTGTAGCGATGCAGGACGATGGTCTCGAATAAGGTAGAGTAGAGATCATACTTTTCCCGGTCCACGCCACTTGTAGCATACTGCATTGTTGGAGTATCAATGCGATCAGTGGTGGCCAGAAAAGATTGTCGAATGATGCCGAGGCAGTACTTGCGCTGGTCTGCATGGCCTTTGACGAGACCGAGTCTCAGTTTTTTCCAGTATTGTTCTTCCCTTACGCATTCGAACTTGAGGCCATTGGATGCAGCCAGCGAAATCCACTGAAACCAAGTTCTGTAAATATTGCTTGATCTAGCAGCAAAACGCTTCGTATCAAGAGTGCTCAATTTGTTCCACAATGACTCATTGATTACACGGTCGGTTTTGATGGGCGAATTTCCCCTTTTGTTCTTCAACAATGAGAAGAAAGCGGATAAAACCTCGTGTGTAGCCTCGTCTAATCCATTGATACCCAGTAAATCCGATAGAAGACTAAGAGTATCGACATCGACCATGCGGTCCTCTGCTCCTGGCACCCAGAAACAGCATTTCAGAAAGTGCAGATACGTCTTTGCAGACTCGAGCTTTTCGGGGTTCCCAGAAGGGCCTTGTCTTGATCGGGCAATAGCATCATAAAGGCCAGTCTTGAGATGAGCTGCTACTAGCGATTCGCGGTTGAGACACAACTCTGCGACCTTATAAAGATGATCTGAGGATGATTCATCGGCTAGGCGGCTTAAAACGATGTCCCACAGTTGCCCGTGCTGCACGGTACTCGCGGATGCGGCATCAGATCCGTTGGTGGGTAGGAGTCGAAGGCAAATGTCGAGTGCGCTGATATCAATGCCATGGGGTGCGGCTTTGAGCTTGGCAAGGCTGGCGTCAAAGGCGGCCTGCCGGGTGTGCTCATCCAATAGGCTCAGCACTGCAGCCGTGGCCATGTTGGGCAGAAAGACCCGTCAGCGGAACCGTATAATGGGGAGAGCTGACGTTTCCTGCAGTGCGGTGTAACGCTGTTGTGGGATTTCTGTTGCCGTCGCAGGTAGAGGCGATGGGTCTGGCCAGTCACATCTCCTCTGGCGAATTTTTTAGTCGCTAGGTACGGCGTCTTCGCGCCCGACAACATCCAGCATGCCCGACGCTGAGAAAAGAGCGGTATCCAAATTTAGCTGTCATGGTCGGTGAGGATGCTCTGCCGTCCACTTTGGATTTGTTTTGCACCGGAGTCGACATTTGTTATTATTCCGCATGACGTAGCAGGGCATTTGGCTGACGGGTGAGGAGCAGGGAATGCTCTGTTGAGCGAATTGCTAGGGACTGACGGTGCATCGACGTCCCGAACTACTTTCATGGTCCATCCATCTATTCCCGCCGTGATGATCCATGTGGCTTGTAGGGATTGTCGACCCATCATGTATGCTTCCGCTGCGCCACGGTATGAAGACGGGCGGCTGGTGGGCTGCCAAGCAGTGACGTGGTGGTCATCGCACCGGCAACGGCGTGTTGACACGCCCCAAACATTGACCCTCGAGTCATGGCAGGAGCGATCCGTGCACTAACTCAACACCAACTACTACTATGCACCTGGTGTACATTGACCGGTCGCAACAGCTCTGGCGATCTTACTGCCCCTTAATAGGAGACCAACTGGACGACAAAATGTATCCGCTACATACAACCGCCTCGGCACCTTCCATGCGTGCATCCGCCGAAATCTCATATGCACACATGTCTCCACCAACACCCATCAACGATGACCCGGGCAATGTCAAGGTGGTGGTGCGATGCAGGGCTTTTGTGCCGAGAGGTGAGCATCTCCTACAATTTCCATGTATCGTCGCATACTAATCTGCTTGCAGAAAAGGAAAAGGGCACAAAATGCCTGATCCGAATGGACCCAGCCACCCAGAAGACGACGCTATATGCGCCCGAGGATAGCGACAGTAACGGACGCCGGTTTCACGAGGACAAGGAATTCACCTTCGACCGCTCATACTGGTCGCACGACGAAAGTGACCCGCACTATGCGCACCAGGAGGATGTATACCGCTCTTTCGGTGAGGAGTTCTTAGATCACAATTTTGCCGGCTACCATACCTGCATCTTTGCCTATGGTCAAACGGGTTCGGGAAAGAGTTACACCATGATGGGCACGCCGGAAAACCCAGGCCTGATTCCGCGAACCTGCGAGGAGCTGTTTGCGAGAATAAGGCATGAGCCATCGCCCAACACCAACTATCACGTCCAAGTATCCTACTTTGAGGTTTACAACGAGCACGTACGTGACTTGCTTCAGCCCAGGACGAACCCGCCCGTCTACCTCAAGATTCGTGAGAGTCAGAAGGATGGCGTCTATGTACAAGGCCTGACCGAAGCCGAAGTCAAGTGCTATGCTGACGTCGCGCGCCTGATGAAGATTGGCGACATGGTACGTATCCAATCTCTGTTGTCTTATAAACCCATGCTAACACCTGCATAGAGCCGGACAGTCGCTTCTACTAAAATGAACGATACTTCATCCCGTTCCCACGCAGTCTTCACAATCCGCCTCAAGCAAATCACTCATTCTCTTCTTTCAGACGAGACCATTGAGCGTACAGCACGCATGCGTTTGGTTGACCTTGCTGGCTCGGAACGTGCAAAGTCGACAGAAGCCACGGGTGCTCGTCTGAAAGAGGGAGCCCAGATCAACAAGTCTCTCACGACACTTGGTCGAGTCATTGCTGCCCTGGCTGATCCCCGGCGGCACGGCGCCAAAGGACGACGACCACGTGAGGTGGTCCCATACCGTGACTCAGTGTTGACCTGGCTTCTCAAAGACTCTCTTGGCGGTAACAGCAAGACAGCTATGGTTGCGTGTATTGCTCCATCCGACTACGACGAGACTCTGTCCACCCTGCGCTATGCTGACCAAGCCAAGCGCATCCGCACCCGTGCTCTCGTCAACCAGGACTGCATGTCTGCTGCACAGCGAGATGCTCAAATTGCCGAGATGTCGGAGCAGATCCGAAGTCTACAGGTGTGCGTAAATGCTGCTAGCCAGCGCAAGAGGGAAGAAGCGACCGAGCTGGATGAGTACCAGAGGCAGGTTGCACTCATGCAACGTCTTATGGAGGAGAACCGCCAAGTCTCAGCTGCAAAGATCAAAGCACTCACTTCGGAAGTCGAGGAGCTCCGCCCGCTCAATGCAGCTCTCCGTGCAGAGATTGACACATTGCGACGCCATCTCGCTCTTGCCCTTGGAGAGCTCAAGAACCCTATCGTCCTGCCGCCACCGCGGGAGCTTGGTACACCGGACTTTGAGAACGGAGAGTGGCTGGGTGAAGGAGATGAGGTGGATCGGTCAATGGGAGCTGGTGGTGACGCAGAGGCCAGTGATGACGATTCTGATTCAGGTTACGATGAGGGTGACCAGCACGATGAGCTAGCACAGGAGCTGCAGAACGAGGCGGAGTCATTCCTCCAAGATCTCGGTCTGTTCCGCAAGAAGGTTGGTAGCGATGTGGAACGATTTGGAATGCACGAGAAACTTGCCGGTATGATGGAGAATGGACTGTAAACGAATGCGGCTAGGGAGCTTGCTACCTTGATGGAGTTGGGAAAGGACACAGGATGAACTTCGATTATGGATGCATGAGCGACGGCGTTATTCTTTCGATACGAGCAACACAGGCCCGAACGTAGATAGTAGTATATAGTTGTGCCACGATGAATGAAATACGTCTCACACGCCCTTACAACTAGTCAGGTCTCTCATACTTCGTCTTCTTCGTCAATGCAGGCATGCTTGTTGGCTTCATGTGCTTGTTCCTCACTTCTTTGAGGGCTCTTCACATTTATATCAGCACAAATACTCTCCCTTGAATTTCTATCACGGCATACCTTCTCAGGGGTAGCTTCCTGAACAGCTTCTCGCTTACGAGGGCGGCCAGCACGAGGGGCATCTTCAAGGTACTCAGGGAGTATCTTGATTATAGACGCATTTGGATCAAAGCCTCGCCGGCAGGCTCTCCTGTATATTTCGTTGATCGTACGTTGTGGAATGCCTGTGATTGTGCTGATTTGGGCGGTTGATTTGCCTCCGAAAGGTGACTTTAACGTAACAATTGCGGCACGGGTAGAGAGATCTGTGTTTGGAGCCATGGGTTATTTGAAGTGGATACCACGATGCAGCAAGTGTTTACACGTCTCCGGATTAAAAGGACGTTTGTATTACTGCGAAGAAAGACGGTCCGAATAAACCGCTGAATGCCACCTCCGTACGTCGTGCATATGTGATGTGACAGGCCTCGGCGAGTGTCTCGAGCTATGACCGCAACTCCAAGCACGCTCCAACCAGGCGCGCATCGGGCTTCCGACCACTTCGCGCCGTGGTAGCCCGACGTCCGCGACCAAACATGTCCAAGCCAACAGCCAACTGGGAAAAGGTCGGCGACAAGTTCTACAGAAAAGTCCAGCTCTATCAAGCCGTCTTCGACCAGGACCTCGAGCTCGAGAACTACCATGTGGTGGGGGCGCCGTATAGCGGTGCTGTAGGTAGGTATGTCCCGCTTGCCTGCCATTGACTGCGCATACCTGCACTGGGGTTGGGCTGACTTCATTAGCCATATACCGCGATGAAGAAAAGCTGCAGACATATCGTGGACCAGGTCCGTCCAAGTCGAGCATCGACATCTACAGCTGCGCAGGCAAGCTGATCCGAAGCATCAACGTGCGTCACCTCAGTATCAACTGCGAACCTTTACGAAGGGCAACACTGACAGCCTCTAGTGGGACAAGGGACCCATCCGGGGCTTGGGTTGGTCCGAGGACGAGAAGCTGCTTGTTGTCACATCGGACGGCACCGTGCGATGCTACTACGGCCTGCAGGGCGACTTCGTGCCATTCACACTTGGCCATGATTCAGACCAACTCGGCGTTGTGTCGTGCAAGTTCTATAGTACTGGCTTTGTTGCGTTGCTGGGAAACAACCACCTCATCTCGGTCACCTCGTACACCGAGCCGCGTCCAAAACTTCTTGCCATCCCACCGACCGACCCTATTATATCCTGGAGCATAGTCCCACCTGCATACTCTCTCTCGCGCTCGGTCGAAGTCATCCTTGCCATCGGAACGACACTTTACGTTGTGGACGCAACCGAAGCTGAAGACAGGAACTTTGATGCTGGGCCCTTCAGACACATCAGTGTCAGTCCGCGTGCAGAGTTCCTCGCGTTTTATACCGAAGATGGAAAGGTATGGGTTGTCAGCGGTGATTGGAGCGAGAAGCTCAGCGAGTATGACAGCAAGATCAAGACAGTTCCCAAGGACATGGAATGGTGCGGCTCAAACGCCGTTGCACTGGCGTGGGAAGATGAAGTACATCTGATTGGTCCCAGGAGTGCTGCAACAAAGTTCTACTATGATACTTGGGTACACCTGCTGCCAGATATTGACGGCATCCGCCTTCTCACAAACGATGTGTGTGAGTTTATCCAAAAAGTACCAGATGAAGCGGTCGACGTCTTCAGGCTTGGCTCTGACTCGCCTGCTGCAAATCTGCTGGAGGCCTCATCTCTCCTCGAGCAAAAGAGCCCAAAGGCAGACGATCTTATCCAGCTTATACGACCAAGTTTGGGCGAGGCTGTGGATACCTGCATCAAAGCTGCTGCGCATGAGTACAATATTCATTGGCAGAAGTCATTGTTGAAAGCTGCCTCATATGGAAAGTCCGTGTTGGACTTATACTCATCTGATGACTTTGTCGATACCTGCGATACACTACGAGTCCTCAACGCTGTGCGCTTTTACGAGGTTGGACTGCCGCTCAGTTACGATCAGTATCGTCGCATGACACCCGAGAAACTCATTGAACGTCTCACGAATCGTAGTGAATACCTCTTGGCACTGCGAATCGCCGAGTACCTGCATCTGCCAGCCAATCAGATTCATGGTCATTGGGCACAGCAAAAGGTTCGTGTTTCGACAGACCCGGAAGAAGAAATATGCAGCTTGATTGTCAAGAAGCTCCATGGAAAGCCAGGCGTGTCCTTTGAAGACATTGCGCGGGCAGCGTATGATGAAGGTCGTGTTCGCCTTGCAACGGACCTACTAAACTACGAACCTAGAGCGGGCAAGCAAGTACCCTTGCTCCTGAACATGAAGGAAGACAATATTGCGCTTGACAAGGCTATCGAATCTGGCGACACGGACCTGATCTACCATGTTCTCCTCCATCTGCGCAAGAAGCTACCGCTTGCATCCTTCTTTCGTGTCATCAACAGCCGACCGGTCGCCACAGCTCTTGTCGAATCGTCAGCTTGGGATCAGGATCGTGACCTGCTGAAGGATCTTTACTACCAAGATGACAGACGACTCGATGGGTCAAATCTCCTACTGTCTGAGGCCCTCTCGCAAGACAACCAGGCTGCCGCACAAGACAAGTTGAAGTTGGCATCGAAATATCTCCAAGACTCTCGCGAGAGTACAGCTGTCTTCCAACGCCAATCTATAGATGATGCAGCCAAGCTTCTTCGTCTCCAAACGCAATTCGAAAATGACCTCAATGGACCCAGGGACGCCAGCCCTGGTAGCACATTACCTGGCCAGACTTACATTGGTCTCTCGGCGAACGAAACAATCTTCCAACTTATTCGCCAGGGTCATACCAAACGAGCTCAAAAGGTCCAGTCAGAGTTCAAGATCAACGACAAGACATACACGTACATCCGGCTCCGGGCGCTAGTCGCAGCACGCCACTGGATCGAGCTCGAAGAATTCGCCAAGCAAAAGAAGAGTCCTATTGGCTGGGAACCCTTTTTCAACGAGATTCTGGGCGCTGGCAACACCAGAGTTGCGTCGGTATTTATACCAAAGTGCACATCGCTGTCCGTACCTGAGCGCGTGGAAATGTGGACCAAATGTGGCCTGCTAGTCAAGGCAGGAGAAGAAGCATTCAAAGTCAAAGACCGGGAGTTGCTCGAAGAGATTCGGGCCAAAGCAGGCGGAAGTGCAGCTATTGAAGTAGAGAGGTTACTTGGCATGTTGCCCCCGAGCAAGAAATAAAGAAATGGGGGATCATTGCGTTGCGGAGGAGATGGAATGGGGGCACGCTGTATCTAGTACTAATGCAAAATTATTCGTGCCGATCATGAATTTCGTGGGAGCCCCCCTTTGGTCCACTCCCTTTCTACTCGCCTTTTTATTGAACCCTGATGTTAGTAGTACAGTACCTCCGATGTAACTAATGTACTATACGCCCACCAGAGAAAAAACACAATTCAGCCCTCACCGTCATTCCCTTTACATCTGACTAAACAAAACCCACCCGGGTTGTGGAGACCAAGACCCAACAACGCGCATGCGGCCCACAAGATGTGGAGGGCTTCTCAACGACCGTAACCAATCCTAGCCGTTTATAAGTAGCTTGGATCAGGAAGCAATCAACACTTGCCGACACGCATACGTCGTTACCCCGCATTTTCTTTCCCGAGATCGTCTGCCCCATTTTTTTTCTTTCTTCCTTTGGCTCTGGGGGTGAAAAGTTAAACAGACGTTAAACAGGGTTTACTACAGCGCGAGATGCAACTTGCATCTCGGTGTTGTATCGGGGCGAAGCTACTGCGAAAGCTACTTCTGTCTCCGGCCCCCCCCCCTCTTGCGACATTTGTTTTCTGTCATCTTTTTCAGTAAGTCAGGGTGGAGATGGGGGGAAGGGGGGTGATCGCTAGGGAATGCCAATGAGCGGGATGAATGCGATGCGGATGCGCAAGCAAGTCCGGGGGGCGGTTAGAAGTGCGGAGGTGGTATATATATAAGTGACTTTGGGGTAGTATGGCGGCGTCTAGTAGAATAGTTACGCAGCTCCGAGGGAGATTTTTTTTTCTCTTTAAAAACGGGCTTCGCAATGACGTTGTCTATACTGTCTCGTTTCGCGCTCGTAGCAGCAGCAGCAGCAACGGCATCCGCCACGTCGTCGCTTCCATACTCGGAATACATTCTCGCGCCCAAATCTCGGACGGTACTCCCCGTCTCTATACACAGTAGTAATGGCTCCGTCGCGAACCCCGAGGCGCTTCTCCGGGGAGCAAGCAATGGCAGCGCGGTATTCACCGGAAATGCATCCACAGCGTACGACTTTGGGATCAACATCGCAGGCATCGTGAGTGTGAGTGTAGGCGGTAGCGTGGATGCAGCCGGGGATTACATCGGCGTTACCTTTTCTGAGAGTTCGCTATGGATTAGCAATCGCAGTAGCGATGCTACTGCTGATGCCGGCAAGGATGAGACGCTGTGGTTTCGCGTCAATGGAACGGGCAAGTATACGGCGCCCAGGGATAAGATGAGGGGTGGGTTCAGGTATATGACGTTGGTGCATAATGGTACCGGGAGTTTGGAGGTTACGGGTGCGGAAGTGCATTATACGGCTATGCCGCACTGGGCAGATGATGCGATTGGGAATTACACTGGTTATTTTCATTGTGATGGTAAGGGATATTTTTTCTTGGCTGGAGCTTTTACTAAGGGAGTTTTTTTTTTTGCGCAACTTTGGCTAACGAGGAGTAGATGAGCTGTTGAATAGGATTTGGTATGCAGGTGCATATACGAATCAGTTGTGTACCATCCCACCGGATACGGGTAATGCTTTGGTGCATTTGGGGGAAACGGGATACTCGAGGGAGGATGATCAGAGTCCAGTTAATGTTACGTGGTATAACAATTATACGATCACTCAAGGCACGAGTACGTTGGTAGATGGAGCGAAGAGGGATAGGCTTGTTTGGGCTGGAGGTACGTTTTACTTCTATGACGGTTCATCTGAAAAACAAGAGAATGCTAACAGAACCCCAAAGATATGGCCATTGCTGTACCTGCAGTGGTTGTATCCACAAACGATGTCGTCTCGATTGAAAACGCTCTCAACTCACTCTTTGCTATTCAGAACCAAACAACTGGTACGCTGCCCTATGCCGGTCGACCTTTTATCCCTTTGGTGTCGTTTACGTACCATCTTTATACCTTAATCGGTGTAGCGGATCACTACCTTTATACTGTAAGAATTCACTCCCTCTTACCCATATCCCCTTTTACAGCGGGCTGACTGTTTTGTACAGGGCGACATGTCATACCTACAATCTCTCTGGGAGCAATACAAATTTGCTCTTTCATTTTCACTTAGCAACATTGATTCGACTGGTCTCATGAACGTGACTACGCCCCAGGACTGGCTCCGCCAGGGAATGGGCGGACACAATATCGAGGCAAATGCCAT